TAATCAATATAACTATTAATGTTAAAATAATAGGACATCAGTTGTTCAGTGGTAGAGTGCTTGCAGTCCGTGAAGGGGACCTGGGTTCTATTCCCAGTGAATGCAACCTCATGCATAGCCACTACCCTTCTGTTGGTGGAGACTTGTGTGTTGCTATGATGCTCAACAGGTTTCTGTAGAGTTTCCAGACTAAGACAGACTAAGAAGAAAGACCTGGAGATCAATTTCCAAAAATTAGCCAGTGAAAACCCTATGGATTACAACAGTATGATTCTCAACCAATCATGGGGATGGTGCAGAACTGGGCAGCGTTTTCTTACGTTACATATGGGATCGCCTACTGGCCAGCAGCTAACAACAACAACAGTGTTAAAGTGGCTGACAGCCTCACAACTCATTGACAAATTCTCAAACCTTTAGAGCACTAAGGAATCATCTAGTCCAGGCCCTTCATTGCTCAAAGGAGAACACTGAAGCAGATAGGTAAAGTGACCTAAGTGTTGCATAAATGAACCAAAGATGGCCTCTGAGTGTTGGTCCCCGGGTTGTTTATTTCTTCACAGCAGGGTGAGCTCCATTAACCCAAAAAGCCCACTAGTGCCTAACTCAAATTTTTACATATTCAGTTGCTTTTAAAATAGCCCACATAAGCAGATTTTTACTCATTTAGAGTCTGCCTGCTTTGTACACCCCACAAAACTGTGCCCAACATCTGCTAGCCCTAGATAAGATAAACTCTGTAGTTATAAAGACCACAAGACCCTGCTGCCCTTTGGAGCTGTCTGACCCAGAGACTCCCCACCTTGCTGCTGAGGGACATCACCTAGAAATGTAAGCTCCCTCTCTGCTTCTAAGCTCCCTCTCTGCTTCTCCTCTCCCCTCAAGAGTCTTTTGCCCTCTTCTCCTTTGGGATGTCCCCCTGTGTTGTGTGCCTTTGTATGGTCTCATGCTGTGAGGGACTTGCCCCACACGTAAACCTGTCAAAGCGTTCCCCCAATAAATAGCTGGCTTTGCAACACTGTCATCTTGCAGTCATATCTTTTCCCTTGGTCAGCCCCAAAATCCATTGAACTCACTACACTAAGTAATGGTGGCACAGGATAAGAACCCAAAGCTCCTGCTCGTGGTTCATTACCTCTCGCCTTCTCGCTCATTGCCCATTCTTCCTAGGAGTATTTATATTTTTCCATAGAACAAACCTCAATGCATTGATTCACCAATGGTAGGATTTGAACATCAGCAGAATGGCCAAAGCAGCCCTTTCCAATGCCACTTAAATAAAATCATACATTTTTGTAAACCCAAACTTAAGCATAGACTCCAGTAGTAGAAGGAACAAGTCATGCTCTTCCACTTCTCTTTGTGGCTGAGAGGACACTCTAGCTCTGTTCTTGCCACCTTCCTTTCTTAGCTATTATCCAGGCACCCTACACAGGGCACATACCACCAATATTTGTTGTCTTTTGTCTCAGTCATCTAGTGCTGCCATAACAGAAATACCACAAGTGGATGGTTTTAATGAAGAGAAGTTTATTTCTTCACAGTCAAAGTAGGCTAAAAGTCCAAATTCAGGGCATCAGCTCCAGGGGAAGGCTTTCTCTCTCTGTCAGC